GCTCTGCCGCATGCCGCGCGACGCGGGACCGGCTGCTGAGGTACCCCGACGGCACATGCCGATATATCAGGTATCCTGTCTCTGAAACTTACGACGACGACTTGCTGTTTGATCTGGATTCTGATGACATCAGCGCAGCCTGGGACAACAGCAGCGCATGGGACGCGTCCTCCTCCCCCGCCGCCCTGCGCGGCCGGCAGCAGCATGCCACAGAGCAGGGCGCGGCGCAGGAGGAGGGCGGCGCGGCTGCCGGCGGCAGCGGCGCCGGCGGCGGCAGCAGCACGGAGCCGGCGGGGCCGAGCATGAGCGACACTGTGGCGTATTTGGACTCCCTGTTTGGCTCATCATATGCTGAATCACAGCCCAAGATTGACATCGAGCACTGCTACAAGGTGGGGAGGCCCCCCCCTCTCCGCGCCCCTCGATGGGAGAGGGGATCATGTCGGTACACGTCTCAACAGCGCAGGCTGCACAGGTGGAAAGCTGCACATATGTGCGTCTGCCGTCGGACGCAGTGCCGTCAAGGGACCGCCGTGCCGGCCGGTCGCGTCGCGGTTGGCGCCGCACGCCGCTCACTGCTTCGTCCAGACCTCGCATGGAGCTGAGGGGGGCAACACCCTGCCGCACTGGGACGCCCTCCACCACGCAGCCAGCCGCTGGAGCCCCTTGTCGCCGCCCCCCCCCCCTCCCCTCCGCACCCAAATAGCCGCTGGAGCCCCTTATCACCCACCCAATGCGCGATCTGCTCCTCTGTCCCCGCCCCCAGATCCTCGACGGCTGCCCCTGGATCTTCCCGCGGCCAGTGTACGTCCTCACCCTGGGGGAGCTCAGGCCAGGGGACCCCCTCGCCTCCGCGGGCGGCGGCGGCGGCGCGGGCGGCGATGGGGAGGGCCTCGTTGGCAGCACCTACACGCTGCGCACCAAGGTCACGCAGGAGGGCGCGGCCGATGCGCTGGCACAGGTGCGTGTGTGCGTGTGTGGTTTGGGCGGGGTTGTCGGCTGGGTGGTGGAGAGCGAGGAGGCGTCGCGACGACGGCAGGGGGTGCTGGGCGCCGCCAAGCCAGGTCACTTATGGCAGGGGAAAATGCGTCTGTCAATGTGTAGGGGTTGAATTCCTTCACCGCCTGTGCGGCCTGGGTTTGTGCACACGGGTCGCAGCAGGTATGCAAAGATGCGTGCCTGCTGTAGTTTGTGCGACCCTGGTGGCGCCCTGATCGCCCCTCGTCGGTTCACTGCCTCTCGCACCCCACCACCTGGACCCGGCAGCTGCTGGGCCGGCCACACCTGGCGTCATCCCTGGACGTGGCCCAGATGCGTGACGGCGTGGTCACGTTTGAGGACAGCGACGCCGCCGCGCGGTTCGCGACGCGCCTTGAGGAGGAGGGCGAGACGCAGGTGCGGTGCATGCCTTGCGCCTGTAGCTCGTTGCTGCGTGCCTGTTCGCGCGTGCGCTCTTACCGCTGCCACGCCTTTGCTCGCTATGTCCTTGCTGCTCGCGACCGCCGACCGTCCGCAGCCCCGCACCCACCCAACCCACCTATTTCGTGCTGCGCATCCCATCTCATCCCTTGACTTCCCATTCCATTCCCTCCCAATCCCCCACCTCACGCCTGTCCGCTCCCCTGCCCCCTCCGCTTTCAGGTGACGGTTGCTGAGGTGGACTCCCACAAGCTCTTCCGCCTGGCCTCTGACTCATCGGCCCTGGTGGTGCTGGTCGAAGGCGGAGAGGGTGGCGAGCTGCCGGCGCCGTTCCAGCTCGCGGCCGCGCTCAAGAAGCAGCGCGCCTGGGACGACATGTGACGCAGGCGGCGGCAACGCGCCAGCCGGGTGTCGCGCGGCGCGCGGGCGCAAGGGGCGGGGGAGGAGGAACAGCATTGGCTCGGCGGGCCGCTGTAACAGCGCGGCCCGCCAAGGGCGAACTTGACCGGGTGCCGGGGTCCCGACGCCAGAGCGTGGGCGCCACTCTGCCTTTCGGCGGTGAAGTGTCTCTTGTGCCGCCCTTTACGGGCGGCCCCTGCCCCCGCGCGCTGGAGATGTTCACAAACTCCCCTCGTGGTCGCCCCTGTGCTTGCCAAACTGTTGGCCTGACGGCCGACTTGGCACAAAAAATCACTTTAGTTTGGCCTGATATCAGACGCATTGCTGCCGTGACGGGCTGTACTCCAAAGTGCTACACCACCACAGCGGCCGGGCCCGGCGGGCGGTCGCGCGCCGAGCCGCTAAGCGCGGCGGCTGCTCCGGCGGGTCGCACCCCCGGCTGCCCCGCTTGCTCCACAAGCCCCGAGTCCCACAGGGCGCCGCGTCGCCGTGCGAGCTGCAGCTGCGATGCTGCGTGCGCGCTGCAGCGCCTGGGGGCCCCATGCGCAGACCCTCTCTGTTGATTCGACCATTTGCGTGCGTGCGCCTGCCCTCGTGCCGTGCTTGCTGCTGCCTGATACGTCCATTCACCGCCTGGGCGGCTGCCGGCTGCTTGACCCTCCGCCCGTGCTCCTGCGCGGGCAGGCTGGGGCCAGCGCGGTGCGGCGCTGAACGTAGCGGCTGCCCCTTCCCTGCTGTATTCAGCAAGCCTGTTTGCTCCCCTTGATGCGGGACGCCCGGAGCCGTGCCTGCTAGTGTGCCTGCGCATTCATAGGCCCGTGTCCTCCTGAATCGCAGCCCGCTGCCGCCCGGCCCGCTGCCGGCGCGCACGGGGGTCTGCTCTTTGTGTGTCGACTCGCCGGGCCTGTGGCCCGGCTGTACGAGCCATGACTGTACACCACCACTTCGCGACCCTAGCGCGTGCGCAGGCGATAGCGCCACCCCCTTTGCGTGTGTTGTTGCGGCTGCTGCTGCTGCGGCTGCGGCTGCCGATGTCCTGTGGCACTTCTGATGTGCCTGCAGCCGCCAACTGCTTGCAAATGCTCCATGCTCCAAGCATTTGGCTGTCACGGCAGTGGCGCTTGCGCAGGCAGGCACTTGGAGCGCCCCCCTTTCCTTGTACCCTCGGGCGCCGCCTTGCTGCCCGCCTGCCGTGGCCATGGCGCAGCAGCGTGTGCGTCCCTCCCCACCATGTAAGCTGTGCCACGTCTCAGAGCCCAGCCATGCCCGCAGTGATGCCTGCAGCTGTCCTGATGAAAAGCCACCTGGGCTTGCAGCCGCCGCCCGCTCTGCCCACCCAAGACCCTGGAGAGGGCCGACACCTGAGGGCCCGACCTTGCTCCGCCCTGTGCAGCCTCACGCACGAGCAGGACATGGCGAGTGCGACGAGCACGCAGCAGCGCCGTTTGCGACTTCCCATCGCAGCTGACTCGCTCGACTCGTCACCAGCCTTAGGAGACGGCAGGGCCTGCAAGGCCGATGCAGCTACGATCAGTGCGTCAACTCTGGAAGGCAGGCCTCAAACGGTTACCAGAGGTTTCGCCTCTTGTACCCACAATAGCACTATCGCAAGGACCACGGCGAGGATAGAGTTGGTATACAGCTGGCTGTAGGTGGGCCGAAGGATGCCTGCTTGACGCGCACACGACGTCCGAGTCGGCGCTCGGCGGCGCGGCAGCCGGGGCACAAGATGGTACAAGGGCCGCCTCTGGGCAGCCCGGGGCGCGCGGAAAGGGGCGCAGGGCCCGGCGGGGGCGCGGGCAGGGTTGCTGAGGCATCGACTCACGGCCAGAGGGGAGGTGCGGGTGTGTTGTACAGGTGCGGTCCGCCGCGGGCACCCGCCGGGCCTTTCGGGGCGGTCAAAGTCGACGGGGTGGGCTGGGGTGAGCGGGTGCATCGCACCTCCCCAGGTCCCCACCGGATAAAGACCCGCCCCTCAAGATACTGGTGGGGACGGGGTGGGGCCGCGCGGCAAGCGCAGCAGTCGGGTTCGAGCGCCTGCATGCGCACACGCGCGCGCTGCATGGGGTTGTGTGGATCTCCGCCCTTTGAGGTGTTGTAGAAATCTTCGGCGCACCGACGCCCAACGTGCAAATCGAAATGGTGTGCGCACGGCTCAAATCGTGGGTTGGAGGCGCTCCCAGCATAGGAGCCGCCGCACGCTCGTCTCGTCTCGTCGCGTCTCGGATCAAACCGTGATGGGCAAGCACCGGGAACAGCTAGGGCAATGCTCTGCGGCGGATCGCACTGTTCTGGCTGCTGAATAAGATCCGTCGGGCCGGACGCTCCGCCTTGTGAGCTTTAGGGCCGCACGCAACGCAACGCACAGCAGTCCAGGGAAGTGTGCGCAACACAAGAATTGGTTTCCCGCGCCCATTCCGCCACCAATACAATGCCCTCGCGGGCCACGAGGCCCGCGGGCGTCGCTCCTTCCCGCCACAAATCAGGGATCCGAAACGCGATGATGTCAGCAGCAGCGTCTCCGGCCCGCGCGCGGGAGGCTGCTCGCGCGCGCGGCTGGATCCGCCCTTCGACAGAAGGGGAAAAGGGAGAGGCCCGAAGCCCCCTTGAATAAAGCCCCGCCGCTGGAGGCCGGGGCTACAATGCAAGGAACAAGGACCGACTTGCGGTTGCACCCATTGCAGGGTGGCACAGCTGACGACTCCACCCAAATTTGACCGTCTCGCCAGGCAGACAACGCCGGCCGCCACCAAACCACGGCGCGTCCCAAGGCGCGCGCCGGCCGCCGCGCCGCGCCGCCGCCGCAGCAGCTCAGCTCCCGTCCTCGGGCGGCGCGCCGGTCGACGCGAACAGCGGCCGCCACTGCGGCCCCGGCGCGAGCCCGGGCGGCGGCGCGGCGCCGCCGCGGTCGTTGGCGGCGCGGCTGGCGGCGTCGACGAACTGCAGCGCGGCGGCGGTGCAGCGGTCGGTGTCGCCCGGGGTGAAGACTCCATGGGGGTAGTCCCTGGTGGGAGAGAGTGTCAGTGAGCATGTGTGTGCGCGTGTGAGCGTGTGTGCATGCATGCGTGTGCGTGTGTGTATATGTGCGTGTGCGTGCATGTGTTGTGGGGGGCAAAGGCGGCACATGGAGGTTGGGGGGGGGGGGCAGCGCTGAGCATGCGCAGCGTCGAGAGATAGATGTCTGCACCTAGAACCGCGGTCCCCGGCCCCTGCTGATGCCCGCGCCACGGCTTTCGGCAGGCGGAACGCGGCTCGTCGCGCTTGCAGGTTCCACGCGTGCGGTCCGCATGCTCGCCCCTCCTCTCACCTGCAGGCGACGTCAGGTGGCAGGCCGCCCTGCAGGGAAATGTCGTACCTGCGGAAAAGACAAGGGCGCAGCAGGGCGGCAGGGGACGGTTGGGTGGCGCAGGCACAGACGATGGTGGTGCGATACAAGGCTAGTGGGATGAGCCCAGAATTCAGCAGATTTTTCAGTAGCAATTCTGCAAATGAACAGATTCAAGTCACCACCCATGTATTGAAGGGGCCAGCGGATGGAGGCGCTGGCGCACAGGAAGCGTGCGGGCACGCCTGGCGGAGCGCCCGCAGGGCACGCGGCAGCGCGCCAGCCAGCCCCTTGCGGCGGGCGCCACGGGGGTGTCGGGGCGGTGGACCGGCCCCACGGACGGCTGCATCCGTGGCAAGCGCAGACGCGAACTTTGGTTCAGGAGTTGATCCAAGTTTGAATGCGTTTTTGAACGCGCGCACCTGCTGGGCGTGAGGTATTTGCTGACCGTCAACTTGAGGCCGCCGCCGTCGTCCCCTGGTGTGGCAGAATATGAAGGGGCAGCCGAAAAAAGGGGGGACGGGAAGGTGGAGGGTTTGAGGAATGGGCGCTAAAAATGCAGCCGGGGCGACAAGGGGCCCCTGGATGGTGGGTGCGCCCGGCACGGCACGGCCTCGCCGGGCGGGGCTGCGGCGGGGGCGCGCGGTTGAGCCGGGCAGCCGCGCGTGCGGCGGACAACACCACTAGTGTGCCCAACAAACGCTTCTCCGAGCCCCCCACATCAGGTTGTGAATGCTATAGAAACAGTGAATGATCCGCCGCAGGGCCGTCAACGCACAAGCCCCGTCTGTCCGCAAGAACCCACCTATTGGGAAGAAGTACTGCACCAGGCCCTTGCCAAAGGTCCTCTCCCCGATCAGCACCGCGCGCCGGTTGTCGTGGAGGGCGCCTGCGCGGCAGCATCGGCGGGCGGCAGGCGGCGGGCATCAGCAGGCAGTTGGCGGCGGGGCGGCAGGTGGCGTGCGGGCGGGCGGCTCGTGCGTCTGAGCGTGCGGGGGGACACGCGGGTTCAAGGAGGCGGGCGCAACACCGGCGCGGGGTCCGGGCGGCGGGACGCATCACATCACACGATCATGCTGTTGCCGCCGCCGCGGCCGGGGCCCGCGGCTCCCAGGACGCACGGCCAGACAAGAGGAACAGCCGCCGGCAGTATAGAGGGGACGCCGTCGGCTGGCTGCTCGCTGCGCAGTGGAGCAAGCGGGCATGTGTGTGATGTCATCTCACCCGCGAAGACCTCGCTGGCGGACGCTGAGCTGGCGTTGACCAGGACGGCCGCAGGGCGCAGGGACAGGATCTCGCCGCGGGACGCTTCCGGAAATATCTCGGGGCTGAGGGCGCCGGCGCGCCAGACCGCGTCGATTACCTGCGGTCGGGGCGTTTGTTTGGGGGGGGGGCGAGGAGGGACGGGTTCAGCTGTGGAAAACGATGGCATGGATCGGATATGATGCAATACGGTTGCATGTGTGGCACGCGGTTGTATGCATGACCTGGGCTGGGTGGTTGGGTCGAGCGGGTCGGGCCGGGGTGAGCCGAGGTGCTAGTGGCGCTTAGACAGGGCCGGCCACAATGGAAGGGGGCGGGCAGCGCCACCACCCCCAACACCCCTCTCCGCAGGCGCCTCGATCTAAAGCTGAGCATATTTGAGGGGAATCCCATGGCATATGGGCCCAAGGGGCGCCCGCGGGCGCGCCGGCCCTGGGGGCTTCGCGGGGCCGGGGGAGAAATCGCACCTGGGGGGAGCCGCCGCGGACGGTCTCCGCTATGTCGGCCGGCGGCGGCAGGAACAGCGAGGCCATCGCCACGGCTTCCTCAAACACGCCGCCTGGGGGGGAGGGGGGCGGCGGCGGGGGCGTGCGGCGGGGACTTCAGAGGGAGGGCCGGGGACGGGGCAGGGGCGAGGGCCTCCGCTGACCCGAAGAAATGCAGTGACGCGCCCCGCTGAGAATCTTGGACCCTGCCCCCGAAACATGCTTTGGTTTGTAAACCCTGCTGCTCTGTGACTCCACGCGTGATGTGCCTGAGGTCCAACAACAACCTCCAAACATTGTTTGTTGCGCCCAACACGCCTTGATCCCTCAACCCTGCACCCCAGACCCTAAACCCCAAGCCCTGCACCACCCACCCGCGTTGTTCCGCAGGTCAAGGACAAACCCTGCCACGTCATCAGCCTCCCCCTGGGAGACGAGCTCGCGCAGCCGCCGCGTAGCTGCCGAGTCGAAGTAATGGAGGCGCACATATGACACGGCGCGGCCGTCTGGCAGCGGGAGGCGCGTGTCCTGTGATTTGATCAGGGTGTGGGTGGGTGGGTGGGGGTGGGGGCGAGCTTGTGTGGGGGCCTTCGCGTGCGCTTTGAGGGAGAGAAACTGTGCGCGTGATGGGAATGAGTATTGTGTGTGTGTGTGTATGCGCGTCGAAATGAGCGTACGTGTGTGTGTGGTGTTTGTCTGAGCGTGTGTGCGGGTGTGTGATAGAGAGAGAGGAGGTAAGGAGGGAGGGAGAGGGTGTGTATGATTCGAGTGCAGAAACACGGCTCGGCACATGTGGCTGGGCGCACGCGTGCATCACGACGCTGCGGCCCAGCCCCCACGTCGCCCGCGCACCACGATCGGCGGCTGCGGCAGCGGCCGCCGCTCGAGCGTGAGCGCGAGCGGCGGCGCCCCCGGGGACCGCGGCGCGAGGGTGAGGTCCACGAGGGAGCCGGCCGGACCGCGCAGCAGGGTGGCGGTCTCATCCGTGGTCAGCTGCTCCGCAGGGATGCCATCAATCTGCAGGATTTGTTTGTTTTGTTGTCGGGGAGCCGGGGGTCGCATCGGGTCGGCGTGCTGCAACCGATGATGTGGTGGGCTTAAACAGGCATCCTGCCCGCTGCGTCGGTCGCGCCGCCCCCTGATCACGGCCCAGATCTCCAGATCACCTCGGCCAGATCATTCCCCAGATCCAGATCACCCCGCGCGCCCCCGGCCGCACCTCGAGCACCCTGTCGCCCCGCACGACGCCGGCGGCCTCCGCCGGCGACTCAGACAGCGGCCCCTCCACCAGCCGGCCCCCGGCCGGGGAGAGCGCCCCGAAATGGATGCCCACGCCTGGAAGCAGCGGCGGCGGCGGCGCCGTCAGGTGTGGCGGCGGCGGCAGGTGCCTGCGCCGGCGAGGCGGGGCTGCCGAGTGCAGAATGCTGCGCGCTGTCCCACCTCTTTCACATGTAACCAACGATCACGATTCCTGTGATGCAAAACTGTAGGAGGAGGTGCATGGATTCAGGGTGGCCTGGGATGCAGGCGCTCACCAACATATTGGGCCGCCAGGTAGGAGCGCTCGAGGGAGGGCAGGGGCCGCCTTAGCGCGCGGCGGAAGTCGTCGGGCGGCAGGAACGAGCTGTACCTGGGGTGGCCAAAGGGGGCAGGGATGCAGGGTGTGTGTGGTGTGTGTAAGATTTTGTGTGTGCGTGCCTGTGTGTGTGTTT